AAAAAAAAAAAACTTTCAAATAGCTGGACAGTGGCACAGTGGTAAAACATGAGGTTCTGCCAGGCCAAACCTAATGAGAGGTTTCATGCTCACTCCTCTCAATCTACATTTTCCTCTTCATAGAATGTAGGGCCCCAGTCTGTAAATAGTTCTTATCTCTGAACCAGAGGTTGCTCTGGTTTAGTTCCTGGTTACAAAGTGTTACTGCCCTTCCCTCAATGGTTCCAGGTTTCTCAAAAGCTTCCTCTCCAGATAGAAACAGAGCACAGCCTATTGCTTCTCAGCCTCCTTTGCTGACCTGCCGCTGTCTCTGCTGTATGAATGCATCACGTCTCAGTGGGACAGTGCACATGGAGAGCCTCGGGTCCTGTCTATCCTGCAGGACTTTCTGCTGCCACTGACTGGTCCAGACCCTAGGCCCTGGTCTCTGGTTTCAGCCCATTTATTGCTTTGTGCTTCTCTCCTATTTTAATCTACAGACACATACACCTTGCTTTGAAAACTTGCTATTTCTTTTTGCTTTCTCTTTTTTATATTTTCTCTGTGTTTGGAGAAGAAGTGGCATATCAACAAATAAACTTGTAGCACTATTCAGAACTAAACTCTAAGTCTTTAATTCTCTTTTTGGAAGATTTAAAGAAAGAGTAGGAGTTAGCTAGATAGGTAAGGCTTGGGACCAGCAGTTAGCATAATGGCTATGTTGCTGGACTCCCATGTAGTCGACCGCAGTTCAAGTCCCAGATCCAGTGGCTTAAATTCACGCCGGGCACGTGTACATGCATGCCCAAGATCCTGAGAGGAGAATGGAGGAGAAGGGATTGCGGCGTGGCCATCCCTCCTGGGGGGTGATTTCTCACTTTCTGTCTCTCTGTCTTTCTGGCAAGCGCACGCGCTCTATCGCAAAAAAAAACTCTCAAAAAGAAAGAAAAAAAAGTAAAGATAGGTAAGGCTGTTGAAATTGCCGATGAGAGTTAGTTTTGTGTGAATGCACAGAAATGGGAATAAGAGAGACTGTGGAAATTGGATGGATTCTAGTATGACAGTAATAAAAAGGGTAGATGGGGAGAAAGGTTGCAAAAAAATAATTATGCAATAAGAATATGTCCTAATTTGTTCTGTTGCTAATAACAGGATTACCTGAGTCTGGGTAATTTATAAAAACAGAGGGCTTTTTAGCTCACAGTTTGGAGGTCCAAGATCCACAGGCCTCATCTGAGTCTAATGGAAGACAAGGCTTAACTAGAGCAGAGCGTGTCCCTGTCTGACTTATTTTCTCTCTTTATAACCTACCAAGACTCAATGGTGAGTGTTCACTCTGATGCTGAGTTACTTCTTATATGTTCCACCTCTCAACACCATAACTGGATTATGTGTAGTATAGACTCCTTCAATACCATTACAAGGGCTCATTAAATTTTAACACACAAATCTGGGGGAATGGGACACATTTAAACCCTAACATAATATAACAAGGAAGGTCTTTGTGCATGTTCTGTAGCCCAGAGGTCTCCCTAAAACACACGCATGTGTACACACACACACACACACACACACACAAACAGAAGAGACTGAACACTGAAGAAGAGACATAAGAAAAAGAATAGAAGTACTCTATAAAGAATATCACAGATTTCAAAATATGATTACATCAATTCAATGAAGTAAAGAGTTGTTAGTATTATGATGTTCATTCTTTAAAAAAAGAAAATCATGACTCATGGAGTTTAAATGATGGATTAGAAGTGTCACCCAAATCTTTTATCTAGTCTCCCATTCATTCTACTAACTAAAATTCAGACTATATACACTTGCAAAAAGACTGCCAGTCATGAATGTATCTCAGCCAAAGAAATAAAGTCAGAAACAATTTAAATAGAGTAATTCTCTTTGGCATCCCTTAATTCCACTGTGTGTCTCTTCCTCTATTTGTCTTTCATTGTAGGATATGAAACTAAATTCAAAAATAGCTCATTTTACTTGCTTACAGAATGATGCAGAAGGCTGAAAAGGTTCAAAGTTCTACCTATCCTCCTCAAATTTTCATTTTTCAGTAGAACATAGCATATAAAAATCAATCATGCAAGTTCTGAGTAATACGAGCCTAAAGAGGGTATATGCTGAAGTATATGAGGCACCTAAATGTGGACATTTACGGAACACAGACGTAGACATCTTAGTGTCCTTACATGTAAGGACCAATCTGCCTTAGCAGTAGTGAAGATTGGAACTTGGTTAGCATATACTTAACTCAGTTATAAGCAATCCAACTCAGAAGTTAGAATCTCTATTAACAAGCTACTGAATAGAATTTTATATGTAGTTCTGTACATTATCACCCACTTACTCAACAAATACTCTAATAAGTTAATAGTATTGTGATGTAAAAATTATTTAAGGCTGATGCATGACTAGGAAATGTAATCCTTGATCAAATTACACTTATTTCTGAAATTCAATCACACTGTAACTTGCTAAATAAAAAACAAAATGAAAGAAAACAATAGAATAATGAAGAGAGAGAGAGAGAGGGAAAGTGAGCGAGCAAGCTGCCAGGTCCAGGACTCCAATCATGGCCAGCCATGTGGGAGTCTGGCACAGTAACTATCATGCCTCCTGTTGGCCCCAAACTTGGCCTTATTTTACTGAATTGTACTTCATTGTTCTTTGTATTTTCTAAGATAAATGTTAGTTCCATTGAGTAATTATATTTTTTTCTTACCTCAAAGGAGAGTTCTAACAACATATTTCAAAATATTCTTACTATATCTATCTACACCATCACCAGCCTACTTTCTATAATTCTTCTATCTCTGTGCAAAAAAAGAGGGATTCTTAGAAATGTTATTAAGATGTTACCTACTTCATAAGTCATCACAGAGGCAATTTGAAACCTTCTATCTAATATGTCTCCTTATTTTCTCATCCATAGTGGAAAGAAAAGTGTAGCTTCAATTAAACTCTAAGTCATAACCTGTCATTTATTATCCCTTCCAGTTCTTGAAGCGAGCAAGCTGCCAGGTCCAGGACTCCAATCATGGCCAGCCATGTGGGAGTCTGGCACAGTAACTATCATGCCTCCTGTTGGCCCCAAACTTGGCCTTATTTTACTGAATTGTACTTCATTGTTCTTTGTATTTTCTAAGATAAATGTTAGTTCCATTGAGTAATTATATTTTTTTCTTACCTCAAAGGAGAGTTCTAACAACATATTTCAAAATATTCTTACTATATCTATCTACACCATCACCAGCCTACTTTCTATAATTCTTCTATCTCTGTGCAAAAAAAGAGGGATTCTTAGAAATGTTATTAAGATGTTACCTACTTCATAAGTCATCACAGAGGCAATTTGAAACCTTCTATCTAATATGTCTCCTTATTTTCTCATCCATAGTGGAAAGAAAAGTGTAGCTTCAATTAAACTCTAAGTCATAACCTGTCATTTATTATCCCTTCCAGTTCTTGAAGGGTAGTAAATACTGTGCTTCTCTCTTCTGTCTATAATTATACAAACATCTAGTTTCTAAAGATATATCTTTGCAAGCAAAGTTTTAATTAGTGCTGCAATTTTACTCTGCTATAAATGAAAATACTCAAACCAAGAACCAAATTGGGGGTTAGCAAACATATCCCCATCATAGAAATTATACTTTGTTACAAGTTTATAAGAGCATATTTCAATCTTTTTTTTTTTTTAAATCAGAAGGTACCTACATGCATGAGAGAGGGGAAGAGAGAGAAACCACCCATTCACAGAGCCTGCTCCTAGTGAAATCTGTTTTTCTCCACTCCCCATCCCCTCAAGATCCTGGGCATGCATGCATGTGCCCATTGTGGGTTTTCAAGTCACTGGGGCAGGGGCTCAAACTCTGATCAGCCTTGTGGGATTTGGGTTCCTCTGGACAAAGCCTAAATCGCTGCACTACAGGGCTGGCCCAATAACAGCATATTTCAGACTCTGAAAGTACTTAACCTAGATTTCTTGAGTGAGAAAGATAAAGTTTAAACAATAGTGAGCACTGTGCTTTATTCCCCCAGGTTTTTAGAGTGTGGGATATTCAGACCCTTTCACTATTACAAGTCTTCCATGACAGCCAGGGAGGACCAGGAGACATGCAGATTTATTCTATGATATATGATGCCAATCATGGCATGCTTATTACAGGTAAGTGTACCCAAGCAATGGCAATGAAATGTATATCTTGACTTTTAAGCTTTTTAAAACTAGCACTTGAACACTAACTTCTAGTTAGTGGGAAAAATTACAAACCACGATTCACCATGGTAGATACTTATTTCAGTTCTTCGCTTTTCTCTTTCTATAGCTGGGTGGGTGAAATGTGTTACTGCACTCTCTAAATATACCAGGCCAGTGCTCTAAGTTCTTGAGACTAGGAATACACGACCTGGGTTACATAGAAAAGGGAATAAACCTGTTCCTATGAATAGGGCAAATTAAACTCCCAAGCTCAGGTCTGATCTTGTTTGTGTGTTTGTAGTGCCGGAGGTGCAAGTCCTTGTCAGACAGACAGAGAGAGACAGAGAAAGAGAGAGAGAAAGAGACAGACAGAGAGAGAGAGAGAGAAGCCTCCCAATGGGGCATGGCCATGTTGCAATTCTTTCTCCTTCATTTCTCAGCTTGATTTTTTTGTTTTGTTTGTTCACTTGTTTATTGCCAGAGGGTCATGTGCTTGCCAGAGGGAGGGGGAGAGAGAGAGAGAGAGAAAGAGAGAGAGCGAGAGAGAACCCTCCCAATGCGGTGTGCTCACACTACAATCCTTTTTCCTCCACTTCTCCATCCCATCAAGACTTTAGGCACACATAAACACACGCCCATGATGTTTTTCAAGCCACTAGGCCAGGATTCAAATTTTGATCTGCTGTTTGGGATCCAGTTCTCTTAACCACTGTGCTACGGTTTCTAGCCCTCAGCTCTGTTCTGACTCTCAAGAGCAGGAATAGGATCCTGTTTCACAGCAGCTGCACCAGCAGGCACCAGCATGAACTCCTGTTCTGTATGAGGCAATCAGGCCCTATGCATTCTGGGAATGAGGCAGTTTCTCAGTGAGGAGGGGTCTAGGGGTGGTCCTCCAACCTGCCTTTGCTTCTAGACAAAGAGCGACAGAGAGAAAGGATAGAGGCCTGGATGACAGATCCCTTGTGCTGATGCCAACAGATTTACTTGCGATTTTTTTAATGGTTTCTTAAGAAGACATGCTAGGCATTGAGGTTAAACACTGTTCATATGCAAACCCTTAGATGTTAGAAGAAAAATGAATGATATTAATAGCACTTCCTCCTTCTGGAACACTAACCCAGAATGGATTTTCTAAGCATTTCCCACTGACCACCTGCTCTGAGTTCCTGTGGAATTAATTAAAGCAGAGAAGTGGTTGGTGCTATCTCTGCTGGTGGAGAATATCATTATTTTTAACTTTTAAGATTTTTTTCCCCTGGATCAGGAATGAATGAGCACTGCAGACTCAATAAATAATTTTTTGCCTCATAAAACAGAAATTAATTCCAGTTTAAAGTACCATTCCTCTAGATTATCTCCTCTGAAGAAAACATACTAATGACTATAAGCGAATTTTCCCCTTAGTGCCCCAATTTGCAGATTTGGTTTTTGGTGTCAGCATTTTCATCCTATTTATCATCAGAATAACTAAGGACTCAAACAGCAAGAAAAAAATCAGAAGAGGAGAAAGAGAACCAGAGGGGAAAGAAGAAAGAGAACACATACAAGTCAAGATATAATTCTGATAGTATTATTTGCAAAAATAAATAAATAAATAAATAAATAAATAAATAAATAAATAGAGCTGGGGTCAGCAGATGGCGTAGCAGTTATGTCCCTGGACTCCCACGTGGCCAGTCGAGATTTGAGTCGGGACTTAGTGGCTTAAAACTCACGCTGGGCATGTGTGCCCAAGATACCAGGAGAAGAATGGAAAAGGGATTGCAGTAAGGCCACTCCCCCACCCCCCATGATTTCTCACTTTTCTCTCACTGACTCTGTCTTTCTCTCCAGTGAGCACACACACCCTAAACCAAAAACCTCTTGAAAAAAAAAAGTAGAACTGTATGTATTGCTTTGTCATTAAAATTTCATACAGTGACTACAATCTTCAACTTGACATCAGAATTTTATGAAGTTTATCTCTCAGATTTGAATTCATGCTTTCACAAAATTAAGCAGCCATAGAAGTCTCCTAAATCCCAGTGACAACAATACCACATTCTGGAAGTGCTTTGTAGAATATGTTGCTATTACTGTCACTTTATTAACATAATTATGTTTATTAAGACAACTACCATTTCTATAGTTCTTTTTTTTGGAGAGGTTTTTGCTATAGGGCACATGTGGTCACCAGAAAGAGAGTGACAGAGAGACAGAAAGTGAGAAATCAACCCCCAGGGTGGATGGCCATACCGCAATTCCTTCTCCTCCATTCTCCTTCAGGATCTTGGGCATGCATGCACACACGCCTGGCGCCACGGTCCACTACACGGGAGTCCAGCGATATAGCCATTACGCCAAATGCTGGCCCTTCTGTAGTTCTTTTATAGAATGCTTTCAAATACTTTTTAATTTGACTTGTACAACCACCATGTGCAATTGGTTATTTTTCCTATTTTATTAATGGCAATAAGGAATTTCAAAGAGCTCAGTTGACTAGAAAAAGGCACCAGGTTGAAACATTAAACTGGGATTTGATCTCAAAGTTTCTGATTCCTGAATCTACATTCTTTTATATACTGCATGGCATTGTTTCTATCATCAGTAGTGCAACTAGCCAAAAAAAGCAAAAGATCCTCACTTATCCACAAGTATGTCCCGCTTTCTTAACATCCATTCTGAATAGTCTTAGTTACTATTAGTACAATGTTTGCTGATTACTATTAGTATAATGTTAAAGGATCTACTTCAAGCATGGTTTGATTATTTGGTTAACCTATTCCTCGCACATCTTCATACTGAGGTATTTGAATTGAGAAACATTTCCAGATGAGTCATCTTAGTCTTTCTCTACTCATAAACAAATGTTATCTTGAAATTTAAGCAGCATAGGAAAGAGTTTAGTAATCCCTGCTAAAACTTCTAAAGTTGAGATTTCTTTGAAAAAAACTTGAAAAAGTCTGCCTTTGGTACCTGCATCTCCTCATAAGTAAAATAGGGAAGGTGTTTCATTTTTGTTTGAGCTGCAGGATGCTTTGTGACTAATCTGTATTTCCAGACATTACATTAACACAATAATTAGTTGATTATGAGAGTTAAATCATACTTGCAGTTCATAGTATTACCATAAAAACAAACCAAACACCCTTTAAAAAAAATGCAGGTAAAGAACACCTGCTCTTCATCTAATGGCCAAGCTAACTGCATCTATCACTATGGTGATTTGGAAATTAAACTTACTTAATATTGATATTGCAAGCACCGGCTTGAAGTCATTCTCATTCATTACATTTAATAAGATCAGGTTTGTAGAATGCTTTATTATTTGTTGCTTGAAAAGAGCTCACTAACAATAAATTTCAATCACTAAATGGAAGCTTACCTTCATCAGAAAGCTGATCATCACCATTATAGTTGTGGACCAGATGGACAGGCATGCAGTAGGCACAATAAAAAAGAAAAAAAGTGGACCACAGAAAAATAGAAAAATGAGGGTCACTAAGAAGGGAATATCCAACTGGCCAAATGAAGTCCAAATGGCTTGCATTTGGAAAATAATGAAGACCAAAGTGAATGCTTTTCTCTGGCTGAATTGCATTTGCTGTATTTGTCAAAAATGTTTTAGAGCAAATGAGTATGTCTTCACGTAATTAAACTTCCTTGGCATTGGTATTGTGACTCTCACTGAAGAGCTGTTTTTAGACTCAACTGGCTGGGTAAAATTCTTTGTGATACCAAACTTGTAGTAGTGGGTGTATATGAGATTCTTACTTCTGTTCTAGGATCTAGCGCAATGGACATGTATCCCTTGACTAGGATGATACAAGATACAAAACAGGTTCCTCACACTCATGAACGAGAGATCACTGTCACGCTTTACAACAAACATTTTCACCAAGTACTCACTATCTGCTCGGAATCCATAATTAAGGTAAGTATATATTGGCTCTCAGAAAGAAAAAGCCAATGAAGACATAATTTTCTCATCTTGCAGGTAAATCGTTCAGATTGTTCAGTGATTAAGCAAATATAGGACAGATATAATGAGACCCAACATTAGAGTGATTTTTAGACTTTGATGAATATATGAAAAGCAAGCATTTTAAACCAGCTCAGACTGCTTTCTACTAAGCTACATGCTCAACTGAATAAAGCTAGCTTTTTTACTATCAAAATAGGAATTTTAAAGGAAATGTATCAAGGAAAGAAAACTAACCTGTATTTTTATTATTTTAAAAATGAGCAATGGGAAGAGGGTACATATTAAGATGGAAGGGGAAAAGATTTATAGGTATTTACTATAACCCCTGTAGGTACCAGACACTTGCCAAGAGCTTTAAATCTATGCTCTCGTTTAATCCTCATCATGGTTCTCTACGGAGAGATCAAGAGTTCCATTTTACAGACAAGGAAACTCAGACTGAGATCAAGCAACATGCCTGGTAATATACTATTGGGTTGTTGGAAAAGTCATGATGCATTTCGCATAGAAAAACAGAAAAATACATCATGACTTTTCTGACAACCCAATATAATGTGACTAGTGTTCTAGTCTGCTTGGTTGGTAGTAACAGAAATACTTGAGTCTGGGTAATTTATATATAATACAAATATATTTGGTTCATAGTTTGACAGTCCAACCATGGTTATGGGGCCATACCTGGTAAGGACTGTCCCCTGGTCAGGATCATCACAATATGGTAGAAGGCAAAACATGCATCTGTGTCTATATGTCTGCTCTGGTCTCATTCCGCATTCTTATAAACTCACCAGTATTCAGGTGAGAAGGCCTACTTCCTGTAACTTTATCTAATCCTTTTAAATTAATTAATTAATTTTTTTGAGAGGTTTTTGCAATAGGGCACATACACTTGCCAGAAAAACAGAGAGACAGAGAGACAGAAAGTGAGAAATCACCCCCACCCCAGGGGGGATGGCCACACCACAATCCCTTCTCCTCTGTTCTCCTCTCAGGATCTTGGGCACACATGCACATGTGCCTGGTTTGAGTTTAAGCCACTGGGTCCAGAATGCGAACCATGGTCGACTACATGGGAGTCCAGTGACATAGTCATTACACCAACTGCTGGTCCCACTTTATCTAATCCTAATCACCTCCTAAAGGCTCCATCTCTCTCTCTCTTTTTTTTAGAATTATTTATTTAATTTTATTTATTCATTCATTTATTTCAATCTGACCAGACACACACACACACACACACACACAAACACAGAGAGCGAGAGAGAGAGACAGAGAGACAGAGAGACAGAGAGAAAGTGAAAAAGCAAGCTACCAGGTCCACAGGTCCAGGACTTAAACCATGGTCAGCCATGTGGGAGCATCCAGAGCCTTAACCATTATGCACCTGCTGGTCCCTTGACTCCATCCCTTAATCTCAAATTAAGTTCCTGCCCTCTTAATACCTTCATAACAGCTCACCAAATTTTAACTCATTAATTTTTAGGAGAACACATTTAGCAATCAGTAAGCACAAGGGTTGAGATACATGACAGGTTTGTTTGACATGAACATCCATTCCCTTTCCACTGCTTTCCTCTAGTCAAGTCACTATTGTGTTCTGTAGAAGCAGAGTATTTGGACATGCTAACAACCTCTATCTTTATGACTACTGGAGCCATCTGGCAGTGAAGGCTGGAGGTGTTTGCTTCAGGTGTTTATTCTTTCATTTCATGCACGCTCTCCTCAAGAAGACACAAGAATTCCTCTGGAAATTCTTCACATTCCCTCTCACTTTTTGACCTTCTGTGCTCATCTCTTAGAGGTTTTCTCAGGCCAGAATCTACTGAATTCAGTTAGTATCATTTATTTCTTATAATGCCTAAAAAGAGAAGAAACTAAAACTAAAACTTCCCCTGCTTTCAGGCAATACAGACCTCTTAAGGGAAGAATGTCTTCCCTTTGTGTTGGGGAGAGGGGAAAGGAAGCTTGGTAAGTTTTTATACCTGATTCATCAGAGAGGGATTGCACTTTAGGCCAGGAGTTGGTGACCTCTGAGACCCATTCATGCAGTGACCACACCTTTCTCCTGTAAGGGCCCCACCTACAACCAGGGATACACATAAATTAAGAGCATGGGCTCAAGGGCCATACTGACTTCATTCAGATCCCAGCTCTACCACTTTCCAGCCAACAGCCTTTGGTTGTCTGGTCCCCAGGTCTTTTCATCAGCTAAATCGTCCTTCCACTCCCTCCTCTTTTGCCCTACTGCACTAGCTTTTCTTCAGTGCCCTGGAGGGAAAAGGCACCTTCCCATCTCTAGCCCTTTGCCTATGCTGCCTCCATCCTGAAGACCTTGAGTATAACCATTCTGTGCTATCAATCCAGTTGTTATTCTCCTGTGGCCTAATTTACATCTGAACACAGCAGATCCATGAAGAGGGAGTGATTCTAAAGCCTCCACTGTGTTTCCAAAGAGAGATAAGGATGAGCCAGAAAGATTTCTGAATTTTCTAATTACACCCAGCCTAACTATATAAATAGCTTATTCTGAAGTCTTGGTCTTGCTGTCTTTCTCTCTCGCTATGCCCATGTCCCTAGTCAGAACACTCCTTTGGAAGGCCAGTAAACTCTTTCCTCAAAGTTCTCCCAAACACCATTCTTAACCACAGATTCCATTCCATGACCTCTGGCTAATCTGAATGCCTATGACCTGTGAAGAAATCCAGTGTGACTGGTTTTTTTTCCTCCTTCTGTTGCGCTCTTGTTAAATTTGTCTTGCTGCTCACCTTGCTTCATGCTTACAGTATCCACTTCCCCCACGGCCAGGGACTGCTGGACTAAGGTCACTACTTGTCACCTACATTTGCAGCAGACACACTCCAGGGTAGCACAGCAGCTACTAGAGGTCAGCATCTTTTAGAACTTTTCTTTGCCCAAATCAACATTCAGGATGGAGTGCTGGGAAAAGGGTTAAATGTACAGAATACCAATTTTGCATTATATTACATAAATATTATAAAATTCTGATGAGAACTGATGGGCATATAGATTATTTTATTATTACTGTTGTTTCCTTCAGGTGTGGGAACTTGAGACTGGTCTCCAAATATACCAGATTTTAGACCCTCATGGCTTCAATGTTGAACTGACTTCTGCAGCTATCGATGAAAGTGGATTTTTTTTTGCCACAGGAGCACATAATGGTCAGACTAATATCTATAATATAGCCTTTTTGTTCAGTATCCTGGGTATTTGGACTAGGAATGCATTTGTTCTTTGGGTTAGGAGGAGAAAATGAATCAGGCTGGATATGTAAGCATGCCAGAGATTGTTCGGCCAGATTGAACAGTGAAAGACTGTCCTATTTAATGGACATTAATGTCTTGATATTGATACCTGTTGGTGGCCTGATGATTAAGGTGGCTGGATCCCAAATGTCCAACTCCATAGTTCAAGTCTTGAATCTGGCAGCTTAAGAAACAAACAAACAAACAAACAACAACAAAAACAGGTGTGTGCACAGGTGCTCAAAATACTGAGAAAATAATGGAGAACAGATTGCAGCATGGCCATCTCCCCTGAAGAGTGCTTCCTCTCTCTCTCTTTCTCTCTCTCCAGTGAGCATTTGCGCACTATAGCGAATTAAAAAAAGAAGTCTTGATGTTGATTTTTAAAATAATCAATACCTTATATACTTCTATATAGTTGTTTTAACACTTTACACAATCGATCACATATACTGTCTAATTTAATCTTTCAAGGACTGCGTGTATCTGTGTTGCCCTGACTTATTCTATCCTTCCACTTTTGGCTACCAACAGAAAAAAGACAGACATTAGATTTGGTGTTTGCTAACAATATTATTACAGATAGTAGATTTTGGACCAAAATGTCCAGCCAACTTTGTTAAATACCCCTAGAATTTGACATTGGATTTTTGTTTTGTTTTAGGTTTTTGCTATAGGGCGTTTGTACTTGCCAGAGAAATATAGTGAAAGGGAAAGTGAGAAATCACTCCCCAGAGGGGATGGCCAAACTACAATCCCTTCTCCTCTACTCTCCTCTTGGGATTTTTGGCATGCATACACATGGGCCTAGCATAAATTTCAAACCACAAGGTCTGGGACTCAACCGCAGTCAACCATATGGGTGTCTAGCACCTTAACCATCTTGCCATCTGCTGGCCTCTACACTGGGCTTCTTTACATGTCTAGGCTCCCTAAGGGTATGCATCATATCAAACTTGACAGGATGTCAGCCTCAGGATATATTATGTCAGGTGATGCTTCTCCTCCTCTGGAGCACTGCACAGAACTTCCAAGAACTAGAGAGCAATGGACTGCCCTGCCTCTCTCCTTACCTGTTCCTAACTCCCATGAAGGGAGTGCTTTACCATGTGGCTACCCTCATGCACTACTCAGAATATACTTACACTTACTTTAGGGCTATATTACTAAGTAAGTGCTTTCCCATAAGCCATAAGAACCATCTGTGTTTGGACAGGACTGCACTGTGTTGGCCAGAGCAGCCTCAAGATCTCCATCCACCTGTCTCAGCCTCCTGAGTTGCTAGTATTATATCACCAAGTGAGCATTTAGCTTGGATGGGAAATCAGATCTGGGCCTCCCATGTGGTCCCAACCTGCAAGCACAGTGTCTTAGCAGCATATACCACCATGACTGGGCACCCCCAACCTTAAACCTTTTATTGTCCAGTAAGAACTAAAGGCCTGTCAAAGCCACATGGCACAGTCCATAATGTACTCTTCCACAGTGCTAGAAGCTGCATGACCAATTATAGATTCAGATCCCTGGAATGGCCTGAAAAACATGATAAGCATGTATGTGTAAACATCTAGATCTGAAGAGCTGAAGGACTAGGGAAGTGGGATTACAGTATGACAAGACTCTGTTGAGGGTCTCTCTCTCTCTCTCACTGATGTATACATGCTTTCTATCATTTAAAAAAAAAAAAGTGAACAACAACAACAAAAATCTCCCCCAAAACTGAAGTCCTAAAACATGCCAATACCTTAGGAAATGTGAAAAATCATTGGAGTGATCTTTTATTATTACTGACATTGTGGCATGATCATTAAAATTCCCATAGTAGGAAATATTCAGCAAATGGGAACACACTGGGAGCCTAAAGACAGAACAGAGGGAAAACTCAGATAGGACATAAGACTTTGCCTGGTCTGTCTGTCTGTCTGTCTATCTATCTATCTATCTATCTGTCTGTCTGTCTATTTATTCAGCCTGTGGCAAATTAAGGCATACAGAAATATATTTCAGGCACAGCAAGGCTGGGGAAACTTAAACATTACTCTTAGCAGGAAATAAATACAGGATAAGTTGTTGGCAGAAACCTTTCAATCAGATCAGTTTTTCCTGACCAAAAAGCCTAGCTTTCTGTAAATTATTTTTAGTCATATAGTCCTTTTCTCTTTGTGCTCAGGGACAGTTAAAATCTGGGACTTTGGCAGTGGTCAAGAGATGAAAGCGTTGCCAGAAGGCAAAGACTGGAAGGAGGAAGAACACTGGATGAGACGCCTGATTTTCCTCAAAGCTCAGGAGAAACACCAGTACCTGGTCCTTGCCTTGGAGCGCAATGGGTCTATCAAAATGATCCAGGTTATATTATAATCTCATTTTTATATATGTAGCATGGGGTCTTTTTTGGGGTAAATCAAGTGAGTCAGTGGATAATCTCCACTGTGTGCCTCTCTCGCCAGTCAGCTGAAGGTGCTATTTATCCTTCAATCTCCCTTTGATGCTTGTAATTAAATTTACCCAGGTTCAAACAACATGCAAAAACACAGCTGACCAGCCACAGCATTCTGTCCATAAAGTTTCTCCTGAAAGGTTAGTCAGGATCCTCTAAAGCAGGAGTCAAAGAGAAGAGAATAGAGAAGGATAGCAAGAGAACAAATAGAGAGGCATGACATTAGTGGGATTCAGATATGGTTTATTACCTGTTGATGATGACGTGTATAGTATTCTTAACTGGACAGGTCTGAGAAGTAGTTCATATCAGGTAAAGTCTTTTTACAAGCAAAATGACAATGATTGAATGTTTAAAAAAGTAGTTGTAATAATAATAATAATCTGAAAAAAATGAAAAGCTATTAGATGATGATGATGGGGATATTTTTTTTTTTCTGGAGAGGTTTTTGCTATAGGGCGTGTGCGCTCGCCAGAAAGACAGAGAGTGACAAAGAGATAGAAAGCGAGAAATCACCCCCCAGGGCGATGGCCATGCCGCAATCCCTTCTCTTCCATTCTCCTCTCAGGATCTTGGGCATGCATGCACACGTGCCCAGCATGAGTTTAAGCCACCGGGTCCGGGACTCGAACCGCTGTCAACTACATGGAAGTTCAGCGACATAGCCATTATACTAACTGCTGGTCCCAGATGATGGGGATTTTAATGTCTCTGTATTGACTGGTATGAATGGTATTCCTTCTGGAAAAAGAAATGTAATACACTGTAAAGTTATATGTGATTCAATGTAATATAAACAAGATTATGATAATAATAAAAAATTTTAAAAAAATAAAGCGGGAGTGGCAGGCGGGTCCGGCTGCCTCAGAGCCTGGCCGGTCTCCCTGTGGCCTTCCCACCACTGGAAGGCGCAGATTTCCCAGGGCCGGCTCGCCCGGCAAGAGTACGGCAGTCAGGTATTTGAACTGTCCAAAGACAACTTCACGTCCATATAATGTAACAGAAAAGGTCCAAAAACATTAACCAAATAGAAGTGTGGAGCATATTAAGCAAGATGAACATCTCTGGAAGCAGTTGCAGAAGCCCTAGTTCTGCAGATGTATCTAATGACTTTAAGGAACTCTGGACAAAACTAAGAGTACCATGATAAAGAAGTACAAGGTTTACAAGCAAAAGTAACCAAACTGAAAAAGGAACGAATTTTAGATGCACAAAGACTGGAAGAATTTTCACCAAAAATCAACAGCTGAGAGAGCAACAGAAAGTCCTTCATGAAACCATTAAAGTTTTAGAAGATCGGTTAAAAGCAGGTTGCTGTGCAGTAAGAGAAGAACATATGCGGAAAAAAGCAGCAGGAGTTTGAAAATATCTGGCAGCAGAATCTTAAACTTATTGCAGAACTTATGAATGAAAAGAATACTCTCCAGGAAGAAAATAAAAAACTTTCTGAACAACTGCAGCAGAAAATTGAACATTTTTTTAATTGCCAGAGGTCATGTGTACTTACAGTGGTTGAGGAAGAGAGAAAGCATTCCTCCAATGGGAATGATCAACAGCATCAAGTTTCTGAGTTCGAATGTGAGAAAAATGCTATTCCAGAATTCACCAATAACAGCCTTTTCATTTTCTGGTGTTAATCGACTGCGAAGAAAGGAGAACCTCCATGTCCGGTACATAGAACAAACACATTCTAATTTAGAGCTCTCCCTGTGCACAGATGAACTGAAAAAAGTTTTCAAGGCTTCAACTAATCTACAACATAAGCTTAATGAAAATGAAATGCTAGTGGCTGACACCTGTGATCAAAGTCAGTCTCCAGTGACTAGAACACATGGAACAAGCAGTTATCCCACTGGTAAGTCATCTTTTAATTTAGCTACAGTTGTTGCTGAAACACTTGGAGTTAGTGTTCAAGAAGAATCTGAATCTCAAGGTCCCATGATCCCTCTTGCTGATGAGCTCTACCACTGTTTGGAAGGAGATCATAAGAAACGGCCAGTTGAGGAATCCACAAGAAATAGTGAAAATAGTTTAAGATTTTCAGATTCTACTTCAAAGACTTCCTCTCAAGAATTGACTACTTGGGTGACATCTCCTGTATTTGGAGCTACCTCTAATATAAAAAGTTGTTTAGGTTTGAATACAAGTTTATCCCCTTCTCTTTTAGATACTGGGGAAAAAAAAGCCATCTGAAAATAGCCCCTTTGAGCAACACTTGTATTTCTAGAGCAGAGAAAGCCAGATCAAAATCTGAAGATAATGCTCTTTTCACATGTCATAGTGTTGAGTCTGAAGTAAACAAGATCATTAGCTACTCATCTTCTTATAAGCAGATTCTTAGAAATATAAGTGAATCCATAAGTGAACAGAATAGTACTGATGCCATGAAAGATGCTATTACTGATAAACATTTGGTGCCCTTGAAATCAGTGGGGAGCAGAACATCCAAAAGGAAGAAAACTGAGGAAGAAAGTGAACATGACATAAGCTCCCCTCAAGGTTCTTTTGATAAAGAAAATGCTTTTCTTTTTCCAATGGATAATCAGTTTTTCATGAATGGGGACAATATGATGGATCTTTCTGATCGATTTTCAGCTATGCAGCGTCAAGAGAAAAGCCAAGGCAGTGAGACCCCTAAAAACAGATTTAGGCAAGTGAATCTCTGTGAGACTTTGAAGCCCATTTCAAACAGTTCTTCAAGCCGTAAGGCTTTGGGTGGGAGCTGTGTGTTACCCAGAGATCCCCCTGAGGAGTCCTGTTTACAGGAGTGCATCCTTCAGTCCTTAAGTAAATCCTCTCCAGACAATAAAACACCATTACAAATAAAAGAAGAAAATCCTGTCTTCAAAATCCCTCTATGTCCACGTGAAAGTTTGGAGGCAGAAAATTTTTTAGATGATATGAAGGTTTGTATTTAAATGTTCAAAGATTTTGAGTAAAGTGGTTATTTGTGATTTCATCTGGATGCTAGTAATTGTTTCTGTTTTAGGGTGCTAGTTCTCATGAGCCAATAAAATTAAAACCCAGGTCAATCCATGGAGGGTGTGAACTTGCATCCGTTCTTCAGTTAAATCCATGTAGAATTGCTAAAACAAAATCTCTACAAAACAACCAAGATATATCCTTTGAAAATATCCAGTGGAGTGTAGATCCAGGAGCAGATCTTTCTCAGTATAAAATGGATATTACTGTAATAGATGCAAAGCATGGCAGTCAGTCAAGATTAGGAGGCGAGACAGTGGACGTGGACTGTACGTTGGTCAGTGAAACAGTGCTTTTAAAAATGAAGAACCAAGAACAGAAAGGAGAAAAAAGTCCAAATGGAGAAAGAAACATGGATGATAGCTTGGAAGATATGTTTGATCAGACAACACATGAAGAATATGAATCCTGTTTGGCAGATAATTTCTCCCAAGTAACAGATAAAGAGGAAGAATTGTCTGCTACCACGAAGAAACCAAATAGACATGGTGACAAACAGGCTAACATCAAGCAGAAAGCATTTGTGGAACCATACTTTAAAGATGATGAAAGACATACCGGCTTACAAAATTTTCCTCATATTGAGGTGGTTCGTAAAAAAGACGAGAGAAGAAAATTGCTTGGGCACACATGTAGGGAATGTGAAATTTATTATGCAGATCTGCCAGTAGAAGAAAGAGAAAAGAAGTTGGCTTCCCGCTCAAGACACAGATTCCGCTACATCCCACCCAACACACCAGAGAATTTCTGGGAAGTTGGTTTTCCCTCCACTCAGACTTGTATGGAAAGAGGTTACATTAAGGAAGATCTTGACCCTTGTCCTCGTCCAAAAAGACGGCAGCCTTACAATGCAATGTTTTCTCCAAAAGGCAAGGAACAGAAGATATAGATGTTGAAGCAAAACAAAAGTATAGAGGACAGTTTTTTCCTTTTTATTTATAAAGTTGGTATTAAACATTGATTTTTTGGATCTTCTATAAATTGATTTATAAATCAGTTTTCTATTGAGAATGTTTTTAAATGACATTTACCCACCACACAAAGATATATTTAAAACACAGATATGTTTATGTTACATTTTCTTGCTTTTGCACCTTTAAAACAATACAGTGCTTTCATTTTGCACTCTGATGTAAGAGTTGTTTATTTACTTTATTTGTTAATAGCCAATTACAATTTTGCAAAAAAAAAATTTAAAAATTAAAAAAATAAATAAAGCGGGAGTCAGAAAGGTTACATTTACACATGGCTGACACTTCTGACATTGTTTGTGCCCTCATGTGGAAATAATTCACTGGCAGAGCTGCTGCCCAGCAGGCTCCATCCCTTAGAACCCATAATACATTCAGGGATGCTCAAGTTACATTTTCAGTTTGTCACCAAAATTGATTTGTTTATTTTAAGGTTAATGATGCAATCTGCTCAGAACTGTTTTGGGCAAATTAAGATAGACTAATTTATTTTTCCTGTGAATCTATTACCACCTAGGAATGCTAATGCCTTCTTCAGTTTTAAAATGAAGGCTAGATCATGTATCCTGGCTATTGAGTGGATTTCACACTGTCACTCAGAATTGAAGGACTCATTGCTTTTATTATTTCTCCTCTGCAAGCTAAGAAAAAAGTCTCAAGTAGATAGCAATCATGAAGTACCAGCGTGGATTAAGGTGACTAATGATCTAACAGCTGGAAAACAGAGTCAAAACTTCCCTGATTTAATATACACTTCCCTTACTGTCTGAGCAACCCAAAAATAACATTAAGAAAAGAAATTTCTTAGTAATACACTCTAAAACATAACGATGTGTTGATTTTCCTTCTTTTAGTTAGTGCAATTGTTTTTTTTTATTTTTATTTATTTTTTTACATTAATTCACTATACATCATTACAGTATACAAAATGAATTTTCCATCCAAAATACACTGTCTATTGGCACAATCAATCACATCAACATATATGTTATCAACAAATAATTTTCCATTTCTTATGTCTTGTATATTTTGCTTTTCTTTTTTTGCCATCCTTGATTCCCTATCCCTAACCCTCTGCCCTGTCCAACCCTCCTCCCACATCGTCTCTGGTATCCATGGTTGCTTTCTATGCCTTTCCCCCCCCATTTAATTGATTTGCTAATGAACTTAATTTGTCTAAATATTTGCAATAGCAAGCGCAGCTGATATATACATACACATGAATCCATGTCTGACTTTAGGCATAAACCTCAGTGAGTAGAATGAACATACTATGAAATAGCATCTAGTTGGGGCTATATAGCTTACTGTGGTCATCAAATACACAGTTTCTTTTTTTTTTTAATTTCGATAACAGTTTTAGGGTTTTTTTTTTTCTTCTGAATTTTTTTAAATTAATTTACATTCATTCCCTGAGCATCATCACAACATACTAAACGTGGTTTCCCATCTAGAATAAACTGCATAGTGGCTTAATCATGCATGTTATCATTCATAATATTCCATTTCTACTTTCATATATATATGTTTTTTACCTCATGTTTTTTATCCTATGTTTGACCCTCTGCCCTACTACTTTCCAAGTTACCTACAAAGGGTATCCCATCAGACTAATGGCAGACCTCTCATCGGAAACAATGTGAGCGAGGAAAGAATGGGAAAAATATATTCAAAGTATTAAGGGAAAAGCAATTTCAACCGAGAATTCGGTACCCAGCAAGATTATTGTTCATTTGGGAAGAAAAGACACGAACATTCCCAGATAAACAAAACCTGAAAGAATTTACCAGCACCAGACCAGATCTCCAAGAAGTTCTTAAGGGAGTGTTATGTCAGTAAAATTAAATGCAGACACACAGAAATAAGAGTTTAGAAACTAAGAAAATGGGCAACTTAATTGTAGGGACGAAGTCTGGAGTTGAGTATTATATCCCAGAGTTCAACCTGGAAGATCGAACCTCAGCAGAAACAGAAGACTAAGTACATGAGACTGAACCGATGAAACAGCATTCTGTGACTTGTCTAAAATACTGCTACTTTTCTTCTAAGGTTTGTTGTCCAGTTTTAAGGATTTTTGTCCTGTCTTGAGCTGTCAATAGATTCATGTACCTACAATTTGAACAGAATATTAATCTGTTTCTAGGCTTTAAGTTTCAAGGAAACTTAAAGTTCAAAACTGCTTTTCTTGAAACTACCAGCTGAACTTGCTATTGAAAGTAATTAGTGCAACTGTTCATCAGGATGCTCTTCCTAGCAAACAGTGTCTGTTGTCGCAAACACTTTTTTTCTTTTTAAGGTCTGCAAAAATGTAGCATGACTATTAGCACATCGAAATTGTTTTTTGTTCTATCTTACCGTTGTAGCATTTTTCATTTTGCTTATTCTGTTTCTCTATCTAGAATCTGTAGATTGAACTTAGTAAGAATTCAAAACCTCTCATTCATATTTGCACCTGCTCAGAGTAGGTGCTCAATAAAGACTAAAAGAATTGAAAAAACAAGAAATATCTTAAAAGGTAGACAATGATAAATCTATGAAGAATTTTTGTTAAGGTTGGAGTGGGCAATGTTACAATATGGATAATGCTAAAAGTACATTTACATATTTATTTAGTAGCATATTATTTATGATTACTTGCCTATTTAAAGTAAAATATGGTTTGATTTACATATTAATAATTAGTTTCTAGAATACTTTATTCATTCACATTTTCTTGTATCAGAAAGATACCCTCTCTTTTGCCACAGAACTTACAGTCTAATGACAAAGGCTGACACTGACTGGCCTGTTATGAAGGATATGGTCCATGCACAAAGTGCTACAGAAGGTTATGACAGTGGAGCCTAATTGGAGAGTCATGGAAGATTTCTCTTTCTACTAATTTCTGATTAAATTTATCATGAGTCAAGAAATAGTTTGTGTGCTAGGAATTATTCCAGATCTCAGGATTCTTTGGAAAATAAGCTGTTAACAAGCTAGAGAACTCAGACCAACACTCTACTAAAATTAAATGTTCCAAATAAAATTTTTTTTTTTTGGAGAGATTTTCACTGTAGGGCGCGTGCGCCCGCCAGACAGACAGAGAGAGACATAGAGACAGAAAGCGAGAAATCACCCCCAGGGGGGATGGGCACGCCGCAATCCCTTCTCCTCCATTCTCCTCTCAGGATCTTGGGCACGCACGCACATGCGCCCGGCGTGTTTTAAGCCACCGGGTCCAGGACACGAACCGCGGTCGACTACGTGGGAGTCCAGCGACATAGCCATTACGCTAACTGCTGGTTCCCCCAAATAAAATATTTTTGAAAGCTCCTAACTAGAATTAAGGAGCTAACAATATAGTAAATAAATAGCAGACTAAAATACTCATGTAAATGAAAGTGGTGACTAAGAAAGGTAAATTGAGAACTACAGTATAACACCATTGCTACTTCTGCCCTGGGATTATTCAAAGCAAACTAGAGTTCAATTTTAGAGATTCACAAGACTTGGAAAGGCCAAAGAAGTCAAAGCTAGAGCCTTCCTAAATAAGCACTGTAATACCATATTATTATATACTGGGACCCAAAAGTTACCCTGTCGAAGTTAAGGTGGACCAGAAAGTTAAAAAAAAAAAAAAACCAGCTTCCATGAGCAGTGAAGGAAAGACTACACTGACACTGAGCCAAACAGGAAAGGAGAAGAATAGGAAGACACAAGAAGATGAAACAAAACCATGTCCCTGAGAAACTGTGGCCACAGGTCAGATCTCATATGCATTTGCAATGGTGATGCACAGGTAGTCAAGGAAATCTCAACTATGAACTCGATTCAGGTGACTCCAAACAGCTAGTTCTATCAGGTATCTAGTGGAAACAAACATGAATCCATTGTGGAAGAAGTGACCCTCATCTCAATGTATAATCAAATAACTAGGCACACAAGGAAACGAAACAATGAAGTCTTGGCAGAAGGGTAAGTAAGTAGGGCAATGAAATAAAAAGAATCCAAAGAGCACACAAATGGTACAACAGATTTGTGTGGCAAGGATAGACTTTTCAATGGTTTTGGAGCAACTAGATATCCATGTGGAAAATTAAAACACCTAAAATTTTATCTCCTACTTGAGACTATCTTTTCCTTGTATATTAAAGACTTAAAGATATTGGGGCTGGCAGGTGGCATGGTGGTTAAAGGCGCTGGACTCCCATATGGTCAACTGCAGTTCGAGTCCCAGATCAGGCAGTTTGCTTTCCCTCTTGCTCACTCTCTCTCTCTGTCCCTCTCTGGTCAAAATAACTATTTTAAAAAAGATTTAAAGATATTAACTGAAAGGCGAAACAATATTGTTTTTACCAGTTAATAAAGCAAATTGTCTCTATGACCTCAGGAGAATGGAGGAGAATGGATTGCAGCGTGGCCATCCCCCCCGGGGGCTGATTTCTTGCTTTCTGTCTCTCTGTCTCTCTGGTGAGCGCATGCGCCCTATAGCAAAAACCTCTTAAAAAAAAAAACAAACACTTAAATAAGACTCAAAGATTACTAATTATAAAGATGAATATATTTTACCACATTAAGCTAATATTAATTTTCAGCTGGATTAGTATCCAAAGTTCTTAGATAAGAAATAAGGTAAATGATTCGATACAAAAATGTAAAAATATACACACTTAATAAAATGGAAAATCCAAATGACCAATAAACATATGAAAATATGCTAAACCTCATTAGTAATAGGGAAATTTTAATTACTTCAATTATCATTATACACCAAGTAGATTGTCTTAAAAAAAAAAAAGATCTGATAGTACCAAGTTTTAGTAAGATTACGGAGCAACAGAAGCGTTCATTACTAATAAACGTGGTGTAACTTCGTACTAATCCTTGGAAAACATTTGGCATTCTTTTTTTTTTTTTTTTTGGGAAGGTTTTATGCAC